AGTGAAGCTTCCTTGTAGCAAAAAGGGCTTGGTGGTGCAAGGAAGTGTAATGCACACCTCCCAGCATTACGGGTCTGATTCTACCCCACTGATGTCATTGAGAGTTTTTCCATTGATTTCAGTGGGAGCTGGAGCAGGCCCTATTGTCACTGAATCTGTCCCACAAACTGAATCTCACAACGCTCCTGCGAGATACGTATGATTCTTTCTATTTTACAAGCAGAGGAATGGAAGCAGACAAGTTAAATGACTTGCCCAAGGTCACAGAAAGAGTCATGGTCAGAACTGGAATGTGGGAGTTCCTGGCTTTCAGTCTAGTGCTGAGACCACTAGTTCTTGCCATTTTCTCATCAGCTGTTCTCATCTAGGCTTGAATTAAAAGCATGCAACAGAGCATCTCTCTTATTTATAATACTGATGGAGTAACAACACGCATCTGAGCAATGGGTACATTACAAATCTAATCATCAAATAAATATTTTAGGGCCAATCAATTTAGGGCCTTCATGCAATCTGGGGCAGAATTTAGCCATTAGCAATGAATGAGTCTATGAAATTAAATGAACTCAGCCTTGTAAATTAAAAAATCTAGCAGATCTTAAAAACAAAGTAGTTAGTTGCCAGGTGGTATGGAGATCACCAATCCGCCGTCCTGTCAAACAGCAAATATAGGGGGAAGTTATCTGCCCAATGAGCTCTGGAACCACCTTGAATTCTTGATTGTCTAACAGGAGTTGCAGTCCAACTGTTCACATGTTCCTCACACCCATAACATATATAGGCTGATAGTGCACACAATAGGAGTGGGGTTTAGATAGCTAATGTTAAAAAGAATTGTCAAACACAACACTGAAAGGGCCCACAGCTCATAAACTAAAAATCTGTTGATTAAGTAACAGCCATTTCCTCATGTATGTGCTCTATTTTAACAGGCACATTTTAAATGCGATTGTACCAGTTGTGCAGATTTTTTCTCTCAAAGACTCGTTATTACCCTAATTTGTTCCACAGTAAAATCAAATATTCTCTAATGTTTTTCATGTCAAAATGACAGGGGGAGAGGGGGGGTGAAATACTATTTTAGCACCACAGCAAATTCCATTAAATGCCAGAGGAGTTTAAAGTCTTGTTGTGTATCTCAAACTCCCATTTTTAATTAGATCTCTAGTATCCTTATTTTCCAGCCAGGGTGGGAATTCTTTAGAGCCAAACCACTCTGGCATAAGCGCAGAACTTGTTCACAGACCATGGCTGTATTAGATTAATATAAAACTGTCTTATGTAGATTTTAGAGGAGCAGCCGTGTTAGTCTGTATTCGCAAAAAGAAAAGGAGTACTTGTGGCACCTTAGAGACTAACAAACTTATTTGAGCATAAGCTTTCGTGAACTACAGCTCACTTCATTGGATGCATGCAGTGGAAAATACAGTGGAGAGATTTATATACATAGAGAACATGAAACAATGGGTGTTACCATACACACTGTAACGAGAGTGTATGGTAACACCCATTGTTTCATGTTCTCTATGTATATAAATCTCCGCACTGTATTTTCCACTGAATGCATCCGATGAAGTGAGCTGTAGCTCACGAAAGCTTATGCTCAAATAAATTTGTTAGTCTCTAAGGTGCCACAAGTCCTCCTTTTCTTTTTGTCGTATGTAGTTGTGGACAAAATAAACCATCTGGAATGCTGTTCTCCCTTCCCAACCATCTTTCAGTCTATTGCAATTTGAAAATGGTGCTTTCCCCATCCTACCCTAAACTGTTGTGTAGGACCAGGGGTACTGCTAAACAGTTGCTCTGTTCCACCCCAGAAGGGGCTGTTTTTAAATTACACCTCAGTGATTCAAATTTGAGTGCTTTGAGATCTGTAAGGATAACATATTTTTTCCACTGAAGACTGGGTTGCACAGTACTGGATTGCCATAAGCACCATTCAGACCTGCTAGGTGAGGAACAATCCACGACCAGTATGAAGAAGATGGTGACAATGAGAAGAATTTACTTACAGGGTTTTATACTTTTTATATTGGACCTGGCTGCAACCTCATTTATGATCTTAGCACAATGAAGTTACACCAGTAATATCAGATTCAGGGCCTCTATTGCTAAATTATCCTAATCCATTTTTATTTGCAAATCGATAGTCGTCGCAGAGGATTCACAGATTTATGGAGTTTAAGACCAGAAGGGACCATTAGATCATCTAATCTGACCTCCTGTATAACACAGGTCATCGAATTTTACCCAATTACCGCTGTAGTGTGTGTGGCGGGGGGGGGAGGGAACCTACTGGCCAAACACCCGGCGTGGGCACAACTGTTGTGGAGGCTACAGCCGTCCTAAAGCTGCGATAGTGACCATGGAGCTGCCTGAGTCTCTGTGACTGTGCATAGCCTATAGTTTGAGGTTAAATCTGAAAACCTATTAGATTTTTTAAAAAATATGATCTATACCCAAAAGCCGGGAGTGCTGTATGGGCTAAAGCCGTGAGCCATGCATATAGCTAACTCTGTGCAGTTGTTTGCACTTAAACCAAAGACCTAATGCCCTCAATCTGCCTTATGTGAACGTCGGTGACTATAAATCAACACTCAGTTCAACTGTTCCAAATGGCAATTTCTTTTACATTATCGTGGAGCATGCTGAGGATAACCTGGAAAGGATAATAATTACCTCAGAGTAAACAGTGCAGGGGAGCTCTCCACCTTGTGCTTATTTTGTCTTATTCAATATGTATCATTTTGATTTAAAATCATTTCCGGAAACACAATAATTGCTTTCTGCTTTCATTTTATTTAAACCGTCACATAATGCGGCACCTGGAGAGATTATTTTTATTAAGCCCTGATCACCCTGGGTGAGAAGGGAAGTGTGAATGGAGTCCCTCCTCCAGAGCAATGCTCATATACTGTGCATGAGTCTGTAGGCCCCGGTATGCCATTAAGGAAAATAGATCTGCCCTTTACAAGCTTGGCCGTGCTGGGGGATGAGGTGAGCAAAGACTGATACTTGACTCAGCCTCTCTAAATAAAGAAAAGCTTGCTAAACGCATTACAGTCAACAAAACCATGCAGATAAAGGGAGAGAATTATTGCAGATACAGCAAAGAGGAAACAGACATGTATATCTGTAAAAAGCCATCCTAACAAGGAGAGAGCAAGAATTATAAGATCACTCACCTAAATACCTCCCAGGATGTCTTCTCTGATTAAGGATTTGTGAGAGTTATTGAGTTTTGAATTAGATGCACTTTAATAAAACAGTAGAATGTTCTTATCAGATTGTACCTGTATTGATTGTGTTAAAGAGGTCTATCCTCAGATCAAGGTCAGTGATTTTACATAAACTCACTAGGTACATAGAATCACTATTTATATTTAGGATTCCTATAGTCTATCCTCTTTGTTAGATTTTAATAGTTATTTGTGACACTTAGGAACAAATATACAATTCTCTGTCTCCTCTTCCACCCCCCCTCCTTTATTCCAATTACAAGATATTTCAGATTTCTTTTCTTTTAACAGTACTGCAATAGAATTTTAGGACTCAGTCATCCTGCAAACAATTATTATTAAGTGCATTGCTGCCATAGCTGGTCCTATTAACTTCAACAGGACTACTCGTGATAGTAAGCGCTATGTTTGGCAGCAACCATTTGCAAGACAGAGACCTCTCACAAAACTCGGTGACTGGGCAACAAAATGACAGATCAGATTCAATGTTGATAAATGCAAAGTAATGCACATTGGAAAACATAAGGTCAACTATACATATAAAGTGAGGGGGGGGTCTAAATTAGCTGTTACCACTCGAGAAAGAGATCTGGAGCCATTGTGGATAGTTCTCTGAAAAGACCCACAAAATGTGCAGCAGTCAAAAAAGCAAACAGAATGTTGGGAATCATTAGGAAAGGGATAGACAATAAGACAGAAAATATCATATTGCCTCTCTATATATCCATGGTATGCCCACATCTTGAATACTGCATGCAGATGTGGTGGTCCCATTTCAGAAAAAATATATTGGAACTGGAAAAGTTAAAGAAAAGGACAACAAAATTATTAGGGGTATGGAACAGCTTCCATATGCAAGAGGTTAATAAGACTTTTCATCTTGGAAAAGAGACGACTAAGGGGGGATATAATAGAGGTCTGTAAAATCATGACTGGTGTGAAGAAAGTAAATAAGAAAGTGTTATTAACTCCTTCTCATAACACAAGAACTAGGGGTCACCCAATGAAATTAATAGGCAGCAGGTTTAAAACAAATGGAAGCAAATATTTCTTCACACAATGCACAGTCAACCTGTGGAACTCTTTGCCAGAGGATGTTGTGAAGTCCACAACAATAACAGTTCAAAAAAGAAATAGATACGTTCATGGAGAATAGGTTGATCAATGACTTTTAGCCAGGATGATCAGCGATGCAACCCTAAGCTCTGGGTGTCTCAAATTCTGATTGCTAGATGCTGAGACTGGACGACAGGGGAGGGATCACTTGATAATTGCCCTGTTCTGTTCATTCCCTCTAAAGCATCTGGCACTGGCCACTGTTGGAAGACAGAACACTTGGGTAGACGGTCTGACCCTATATGGTCGTTCTTATGTTCTTATTTTGCCTAGCACAGATGCATTCTAAAATGATCTACAGACTTAAGGAAACATTGTATACTTCATATAACCAAGTTCCTTTAGTTAAGTAAAATTCAGTACTTAAAATTTTCGTAATATAATCTACAGATTAGACCGTCAGCTGGTGTGAATCAATATTGCTCCACTGACTTCACTAGAGCTATGTCAGTTTATTACTGCAGTCTAAAAATCCAGGAGGCTTCTGAGCAGTAAAATAATTTTCTTGAGAGTGAGTGAACACGTGCGTAAGTGAGAGAGAGAGAGAGAGAGAGAGAGAGAGAGAGAGAGAGAGTATGTGTGTGTGTGCGTGCGTGAGTATACAAAGAGAGACAGACAGATACACTTTTTTGTTTGTTTACTTACCGCCCAATTTGGTTCTGCTACCAGGCTGCAGACACGTGACATTGGGGTCAGACCCCATTTAACCAGGAAACAAAGGCTGATAGTTCCAAAGAATGTGATCCACAGCAGATGAGGGATCAGCTCAGCCACCTTCTGCCTCATCCAGGAGCGAGATCCAGGTCCTTCACAGCATGGCCAGACCAGAGAGCTACCAAGAAGGTGAGGGGTCCTGGGGCTACTGCTACAGCCAACAGGCTTCTTCATATGGAGTCACCACTCCACAATCAGCAGCACGAAAGGGCTAGTCCAAATGGCCCCAGGGGCCTATTTGGCTAGGGATCTGGGAAGAAATTCTACCCTGCTTCCTGCTGCTCTCTCTCCTCCTATTGGAGGATGGCAGTGCCATTCAAGTAAGGACTGCAGGGACACAGCAGGCTGAAAGGCTGAGCTCGGGGAAGGCCGAGGGAGCAACCTGACTGCATGGCCACTAGGAGCCTGTACTGTAGGGCATGCAGGAATCAGTGAGAGGCCAAAGGGAAGGAGGCACCTGGAGCTTTGACTAAGGGACTGATGTTGCAGAAGCACTGGGACTGTTTGTTTGCTGATAAAAGTGCCTGTTTATTAGTGACAGGGTGGTGTTCAAGTGATTTCTGGATGAATGCCTGCCTCCCCAATGGCAAGAGGAGGTTTCTTCACCCCAAGGCAAGGGGTGGGAGTTCAGAACTAACTACCGGGGGGGTGGGGGGCACCATGTTTGTATGGGGAGGAAAGGGGAAGGAGGACTGGGAGGGGTCTCCTAACCTGGGCCACCATAGCAGAAGCTTCTGAGACGAAGCAGGAACTGAGTGGAGCAAGGCAGCTATAGGGCAGTGAGAGCTGGGGAGTGTCAGAACTCCAGTTGTTGAACTGGGTGGTGGAACCAGCAGCTGGGAGAGCCGGAAACCAGAGGGACCAAGATTTCTTGACCTGCAGTTCCAAATGTCATGACAGATGAGGAAGTGAGCGGAGGGTACTCAATCAATCTAAAACACAAATTTTATCCAAGGCAACTCAGACTCCTCCGAACTCCGTCTGCAAAGAAAGAAAGAAGGCATAGCAGCTCAACACAGAGCACATTCATGCGGTTCAAAGATAGAGCTAGAAAGGCGTTTGGTTTGGTTTAAAGAGCTGCCAGTCTTTTTGCCCCAAGCCTGAGCCAAAACCATGGAAACAACAGATGGGGAAATGGAAGGAGAAAGGCCAGCGAAAAACTTGACAAGAACATTTGAAGCTTTCCTCTGGAAATCTTGAAAACCTCAACACATTCCAGGCTTCAAAGATCATCCTTGGTAGATTCCAAGCACATTAACCTGCCATGCTGAGGAGGAAACAAGGCAAGAGAATTCTCGCTTGCCATCACTGGGCCACCAGTGCTAAGTAAAGGCACGCTCTTTGGGGAAGAATGCCAAAAAGAGCCCTGCTCTTTCCTCAGATAGCTACAGTTCAGCATATTGCCACACAGCATAGAGCTTCATATGGATCACTACAGCAGCTTCCACCTGCCTATTTTCCACTCTTGGTGCTTGCAAGTGCAGAACAAAGAGTGTGCAGGCAACAAGGTGCCTGTGTGGGTTTTTCCTACTCTTGATGTTTTGGTGAGGGATAGAGGGCTAGAAGGAGATAGAGGGGGAATGGGCAGGTCAGGAAAAATCCCAAGCAGCAGCAAGTTTAAACCTCAGACAAGAATGAACTTTCATGTCTGAGAGATGGTGGTCAGCCCAAGTTTCTCTAGCATACATTTGCATTTGCCTCATGTGAATGCCCCTCAGTCCATAATCAGGCAGACACACTATGGCTTTTGCTTCAACTTCACGGAACAGAAAAATTCATTTTTTGACAATTGGCAAGTAGATTTTCCTCTTCCACTACCCAGCCATTGAGATGTGTGATCCCCATTTCTGTTCTTTCATCAACTTAGCTTTCTTGTTTCTTTCCCCCCAGGTTAATCTAATACAACCAAGAAGTCCCAGGGGTCCTGAGCAAGCTCAATTGCCCAGTTTCTCTAGAGTAGCAGTTACCATGCCTAATATATGAAAGATTCCTTGTGCAAAACCAGGCAGAAACAGTCTTTTACTGCTGCTCATCAAGGGTTCTGATTGTCTCACATATGGGGACAAGGAACAAAAAAAGAAGCCCCTTGAGATGGTCAATTTAAAGGCCCATGACTTAATGTCAACCCTGAAAACAAGAGGAGGTGAGGCAGAACCTTTACAGAGTCCTGTGCCTTGACAACAGCCCACTGAACAAAAGGTGGTGAGCAAGTGACCTCACAGAAGTTGGTGCTTTGACACCAGCAGCCTTTGCAGGCTGGGGTCTTTCATCCAGTCTCATTTTCTTTTCTAACAAAAAGTAGGAGCTGCAGGAATGATGTATAAAAGTAAATCAACTAAGCCAGAGGGGAAAAAGCCCAATCTTCACTACATCCTCTGGGTAGAATGACTACATCTGTGATGCCTTAAAGAGAACCAAACCACAGCAGCTGCCAAAGTACTTTGGTTGGGAGAGCATTAGCCCTGGGTTAAATGCTCTTCTTTCCCTTAACATCTAAGGGTATATCTGCCCTGCAATCAAAGACTTGTGGCACAGCTGTGGCTGGGCCAGGTCAGTTGACTCAGGCTTGCAGGGTGTAGGCTGTGCGGCTATAAAATTGAATGTTTGGGCTTGGGCTGGAGCCTGGGCTCTGAGACCCCACGAAGAGGGAGGGTCTCAGAAACATGACTCTAACCCGTGCCTGTAGGTCTGCACTACTATTTTATAGCTCCGGAGCCCAAGCCCCATAGGCCCAGGTGAACAGCCCCGGACTCTGAGACTCGGTGCTGCATGTTTTTGATCACAGGGTACACGTACCCTAAAGGTCCCTGGATTAAATGCTTGGTTTTAGCAAATCTCTCTGCTTTCCCTCAACTTCTTTTCATTAAGAGTGGATCTTTTTTCAGGGATGACAGTTTCTCCCTTTCATCAGTTATCCCGTAGGTATCAGAACAATTGTGAGAGCCTTCCTGTCCTGGGAGTAGGGTGACCGGATGTCCCAATTTTATAGGAACAGTCCCGATTTTGGGGTCTTTTTCTTATATAGGCTCCTATTACCCCCCACCCCCTGTCCCGATTTTTCACATTTGCTGTCTGGTCACCCTACCTGGGAGCAATGTTCCCTCTAATTTTTGACAGGCCATGTGCGCAAAAAATTTCTTCTGTGCAAATTGTTGTGCTTCTGTGCAAATTTTTGTGCGCGCGGTATTTTGCCGTGTGCGTGGGGTTTAGGATCTATGTGCACGCGCACAGCTTAGAGGGAACAGTGCCTGGGAGTGACATCTGGGCCCGTGAAGGGAAAAATCAGGAATCCTTCCTGCCACACCATATTGACTGAAACATTGCTTTCAGCTGAGTCTTCGTTCTAGCTTGGCATCATCTTCTGCTTGTAAGTATGGTGTGAGCAAATGTTAATACCTTTTTTCCTCCCTAACTTCCAAGGAGGACCAGTCTGAAGTTTTATCAGCGCTTAATTCAAACATGGTTTGCTGTAAAAGGGGTGAGAACACCACTATTGAAAAACAAGCAATTGTTCCAAGTTCCCTAGCTGCAAATACTCTTCTCTGGTGAGGTGCAAACCTCACAGAACCCACACAATTCCATTTCCCCTATTGCTAGGGCCCCACAGCAAACCATTCCAAACATGCTAAAACATGCTTAATTGACACTGAGCTGGCTGAACAAAAATGAGGTTATTTTTCAAAAAACTGGCAAAGTTCTGAGTTCAACTGTGCTGTCTTCCATGATTGATTTCACTTGGACAATTTCCCACCAGTTAACACAAAACCCAAAGACATCCTCCTTTTCACAACCCTACCAGAAGTTCATAGGTCTCTTGGCTACCAGTTTCCTGGGTCCCAAAGAGCAGCTTTGGGTAATGATGGAGGACGCAGTGTGAATCAACCCTGATTTTTAGAAATCACAATAAGAAGCTTCCAATGTACATTACATATTCAAATTCAAAGTGGTCTTCACAAGGAAGAGGGCTAGAGAAAATCTTTTTTAATGTATGACAAGACGACGTTTACATTTTGTCATCCCCAAAAATCACACTTCAGATGCCTTGTTTTGACTTTGCACGTTAGTGATGCTTACCTAATGGTTATAAACCTCGAAACTTGTATCCTATCTGCACACAGATTATGTACTGATAACTATTTCTGCTAGGGGTGCAATTTTTAAAATAGATACAAACCCTATTGTGCACACAGTTATACTAGTGTAGCTTATTCCCCTCTATATTTATACCTTTATGCTGGTATAATTGCATCCATACTAAGGGGTTGTAATACCTTAACTATACAAGTTTCAAACTGCTCGTTAAAGCAGTACAAAACTTGTGTGTCTTGGGGAAATGTTTTTGCTCTTCCAACATTCCAATCAAAGCTGTAGCTCACGAAAGCTTATGCTCATATAAACTGGTTAGTCTCTAAGGTGCCACAAGTCCTCCTTTTCTTACTGCCCCATTGAAATCAGTGGGAGTTTTACCCCCACGTTGTTTTATAAATTTTTCCCAGCTACAGGAGTAAGCCAACAACCACTTATGGTGTAAACAGGCTCTCAAAGCAAAGAAAATAGAAATGACACCCCTGATTAAAGCCAACTTCTATAATCGCCTCTCCTACAAACACATTAACACCTCATTAACACGACCATGTGCGTACAAAAGAAATGGAGGTTGGAAACAGCTCAGGCACAAAGTAAACAAATGATAAACAGAAAAGGAGGACTTGTGGCACCTTGGAGACTAACAAATTTGTTAGTCTCCAAGGTGCCACAAGTCCTCCTTTTCTTTTTATGGATACAGACTAACACGGCTGCTACTCGGAAATGATAAACAGAATTGCTGCTTATTTTTGTCTGACAGTCTCAGAAATAGTTGCTCCCTAGTTACATGGGTTATGTTCCTCTGACCTAGAAAGGCAGAAACGAATGAGATTTCACATTCCCACAATGCGGTGAAGAAATGTTTCTTACACCATGAGATCATAACTCAGAATAAGGAAAAGTTGATAAAAAACAACAAATGGAAAACGGAGTGGGGTTTTTTTAATATAGTAAATTGATAAGGGTTGTAAAGAAAATGATTTTTAATCCGACAATAGGCAATGATTTTAAGAATACAAAAGACATTAAAATAAAAAATGCACACGTTAGAGCAAAATGAAAACTAGTAAACATACAAGGTTTAAAGGCAAACTAAAATCGGGCTAGATTGTGCCATTAGGCTTAGTCCTGAATATGGAACAACACCAAGAAATATTTGTGCCTCAGAGTTATCTTGGAATCTCAATTCCTCTGGAGCTTCCATTTTCCACTGCAGGGACCTTGCATCAGCTATTTACAAGACACTGTGTATTCTGCCCTTTGCATCCAGTCACCTCTACTGGGGCGCAGTATGGGCATGAGTGGGGGAAGGAGAAGGAGGCAGAGTCATGGCGCTGACTGCTCTAATGCCCCATAAGCCCCCTCCCAGCAAAGCCCCTGCTTGTCTCTCTCTCCCTGGACTCAAGGTCCAGGCAGGTCTACTGCAAGCCTAAGGCAGCTGAGGAAAGATGGTCCAGTAGTTATAGCACAAAGCTAGGACTTGAGAGACCTGCGTTCATTTCCTTGCTCTACCCCAGATTTCACCTTAGGTCATACATAAAGTGCAGTGCAGTTCCCGCTCTGTAAAATGTGGCTAATAGCACTTCCCTACCTCTCAGGGGTGCTGCAGAATAAATACATTAAAGATTGTGAAGGGCCTTGAGAAACTGGCACCAACTCCATGAGTGGAGAACCATGGAGCACCCACAGAAAATTATTAGTGGGTGCTCAGTACCCACCAGCCACATGCCAGTCAGCTGATTGGTGGGTCCTGTCAATCAGCTGTTCGGTGGTGGGTGGAAGATGCTGCGGGGAGGGGGCGGAACAGGGGTGGGAAGAGGCAGAGCGAGGGCAGGATGTGCTCAGGGAGGAGGTGGAGCAAGGGGCAGGAAGAAGTAGGGCAGGAGTGAGGTCTTGGGGGAAAGGGTGGAGCAGGAGCGGGAAGAGGTGGGGCGAGGGTGGGGCACTGGAGGAAACGGCGGAGTGGGGTGGGGCCTCGGGGTGGAGTGGGGGAGCAGCAGCCATCCGGAGAGAAGAAAGTCAGTGCCCGTGCATTGAGATCTACTGATGAAGAGTACTATATCAGAGGCAAGTTATTACTGCCCGGCACAGTCAATGTAAGACCAGGGCACAATCTATTTGTGAACAGGCAAGAGACAAGCTGAGAACCTAACATCACCACATTTTGCTTGTTTGTTGATTGTCCAATGTTGTATCGTTTTTGTCTTGTCTTTTTAGGTTTCAGTCCTGCAACCAATAGTGAGACTACTCCTAGGAGTAAAGTTACACATACATAGGCCTTGTTTACATGCAGAAGTTGTGCTAATTTAACGTAAAATCTTTTAAAACCCAATTTATTTAAACTGGAGTAAACTCTCGGATGGACACACTTATTTCAGGTTTAGAATGGCTTATTTTGGTTTAGTTTAAACTGCACCCTAATCAACTTAAGCCAAAGCAAAAGAAACGTGGTTAAAGAGTATCCACACCAGTTCAGGTAAATCAGTTCAAAACTCACACTTTAAGTTAAACTGATGCAACCTTCCTGTGTACACCAGCATTTAGACTCTAAGCTCTTCCGGGAAGGGACCATCTCTTCCTCTGTGCTCATACAGTGCTTAGAGCAATGAGGACCTAACCCTGATTAGAGCATTTGAGTGGTACTACAATATAAATAATAAATAACAATGATGGAATGTGTCCCATTAGACAGGGAAGTAGACTAGTGATTCAAGAAATCTAGGCTCTGTTTCTGACTCTCCAATTGGCCTGCTGTGTAACCTTGGACAAGTCTCTTCCCCTCTTGCTATGTGTCTGATTTATCTATTTAGATGACACGTTCTCTGGGGTAGGAACAGTTTCTTACCATGTGTTTGTAGGCAGCCTTGCATAGTGGGGCTCTGATCTCATCTGGGCCTTCTAGGTTCTACTGTAAAACAAACAGCAATAATGAAAATAAATAATCACAAGAGTACATCATGTTTTCTCAACAAAGGAATGTAACTTTTGTAACAGTGCATGTGCATGGTAGAGAGAAAAAAGAATTTAACAGTTGCATGCCTGTATTTTCAGGCTTGTGTCACGCTCTAAAATCACATCCAGATGGCAACAACAAAATCACAGCCTCAAAGCAGCTGATGAAAGACAGTTGCACTAGCTGGTGCGATTCTTGGTGCCAACTATGCGTTTGGGAACAAATGTGGGAAGAGCATGCAGAATGGCAGAGATTTTGCACCAGTTTACAGTGTACAGATGGGGGTTCTGGGAGGCATTACAGTGCATGACTACTTTTCCGATTTCTTCGGTATCAGCTGTAGGACCCACTGCCAAGGTGGAATCCACACTGGGATCAGAGAACTCATAATTTTTAAGAGACAGTTGTAATTTGTCCCTAAGTTACTTTCAACATATGTAAATGTTTAGGGGAAAAGTGGGAGGAAAGCTTGGTTTTGCAAAATGCACAGCATCTTAGGGGTACTGAACATTGAACATGTCACTTCCACTGGAACATCAGCACCCTATAGCTATCATGCCTGGTACATTAAGCAGTAATAGAGGTGCAGGTTGTTTAGCATACTATCTATGTGGAGATGCAGTGCACTGGCTAATAAATTGGTTAAACAAATCATCTCCTTCAGTCTATGGTACATGTCTTTCGTTTGCCACCCAGAGAGGATTTGAAAAAGCAAAACTGCTCTCCCACTTATTTGAAACAGAGATGAGCTACAGTTGAAATAATGTATGCAAAAATCTCTGAGCTGCGGAACTTCAGCTAGAATAGGATCCAGATGCAAACCACCGGAGCTTCCGAAAGTTGGAGGATGACATTTTGCAAAAACACCCAACATTTTTCCATCGCTAGTCCTGCCCCCTCACCTCTGATCCTTCCTTTCGTCATCTAAGCCACAGCAGCCCCCACACCATCCTTCTCCTCCTGCCTTTCATAGCATCCCACTTCCAAAGTTTAAATTATTTGCATAGCATAAACCACATAGGTTCCTTTTTAAATATGCACTTTCTATATGTCACACTTGATTTTTCACATCGTTACACAGAACAATAATAAGGATATAAATGGGCAATTTTAAAATATTTTATTTAATGGGAGCTGATTTGGATGTCCACAAAAGAGCTGGTTGAAAAAAAAATGTTTGCAAAAACGCCTCTCTTTTTCCATAAAAAAGTCAAATTTTGAATGTTTTCAACCAGTTACAGAGCTTCTCAAAATACAGGAATTCTTTTGCTAAAAAATTAAGTTTTTAATTGAAAATTTTGAATTTTTTGACCAGCTGTAGTCTGCAACAAGGGGATTCTTGGGAAAGATGTGTGAGTCATTTTTCCTTACTTGTGAGCACAGGCTGGAAGCAAGGTATACATACCCTTATTAAATAGGCTTTGAGCATGTAAAAACCATATAATTCAGAGATTGTTAAACCACAAAATTTAAATCTGGATCCAGATTGAAACCCCAAATTTCAGAAGTGTTTGGGTCTGAGGTTTTGGTTAAGATCATATAAGAAAAGGGACCAGCTGCAAAATTTGGATCCAGGTTCAGATTTCAAATGCTCCAGGTCATTTCTACAACAATACAGTAAAAGAACATATATTTTTTATTCAGAGAAGGTTACATTGGAGCTGTGAGATAGTGAGAATTGTTCACATGAAAAATACAAAAACAGTTATACTTCTACATGGGTAACAGCCAAACTGGAAATTGTTAAAATAGCCAGCTAGATCCTCAGCTGGTATAAACTGCTACAGCTCCATTGAAGTCAGGGAAATATACCAGTTGGTGAGCTGACCCATATACTGTTAAAGAGACACTGACAACTTATAGTCATACTTACTTTGATTACAAGAAAGAATACAAGGTTACTATATTATTCTAATAAGATTACTATAATTGAAGGGGATTTGAGAAAACACCTTTTTCCTCTACTTTTTCCATTTTGTTTTCACATTTGACACTAGTTAGTGTTTAGTCAATTTCATGGTTTCCCCTCTATTGTCAGTCTGTCACTTCCCCTGTTTGTGTAGGTCTCTCACACAGCACCAAAGGAGCGCAACAACATTTAAAAAATATTAAAATTGTGATTATAAAACCACAAAAATTGGCAGGGGGGGCTCAAAAGGAGCAGCCGTACTTGTAACTATTTTAAATTCATTTTGTTTTAAAAATGACCGCTTTTCAAGTTGACTTGGTCTATCATATACATCTGTGGGTGCATTTCTCTGATTTACAGCATTTACGATTTTAACATAATAAATTATTGCACATCAGTATAGCTGTCTGCAAAAGTAAAATAAATCCTCTTAAATGTATATAGTACGTTTGCTGAAAAAATTATTAAGATACAGACCTAAGAGAGAGGAGAACTTAATCATAGGAAAAGTTTAATAACTAAATCCAAAGTACTGAACAGCAAATACTCAGGATTTGGCCACAAGTCCACAGATCTTTTGTACAATTATCAAAACAAAATTTAATGCAATTGTACAAGACTCAGAAATATAATATTCCCCACACACATCTAAAATTGTAGAGAAAATGGCATATTGGATTTTTTAAAAATAATGTGGTGGGCACTCATCATCAAAGACTGCAGTGCATAAGACCAAGGAGGTCGAGTTTAAGCGGCATGTGCAGTCTACACTTTGGACACATTTGTGCCTTTAAGGCACAGCCAAGTACTAGGAACAGGATGGTACAGAGCTGCACCACTCCACAGGGACCACAGGTAGAATTCCTCCCCTAGTTCTCTCTTACATAAGAGCAGCACGCCTGCTGTTACACCTCTTCACCAGGTGCAGTTACTGTCCAAGAAGTATGGGCTGGATGAATGGACTATAAGGTGGATAGAAAGCTGGCTAGATTGTCGGGCTCAAAGGGTAGTGATCAATGGCTCCATGTCTAGTTGGCAGCCGGTATCAAGTGGAGTGCCCCAAGGGTCGGTCCTGGGGCTGATTTTGTTCAATATCTTCATAAATGACCGGGAGGATGGTGTGGATTGCACCCTCAGCAAGTTTGCAGATGACACTAAACTGGGAGGAGAGGTAGATACACTGGAGGGTAGGGATAGGATTCAGAGGGACCTAGACAAATTGGAGGATTGGGCCAAAAGAAATCTGATGAGGTTCAACAAGGACAAGTGCAGAGTCCTGCACTTAGGACGGAAGAATCCAATGCACGGGTACAGACTAGGGACCGAATGGCTCGGCAGCAGTTCTGCAGAAAAGGACCTGGGGTTACAGTGAACGAGAAGCTGGATATGAGTCAACAGTGTGCCCTTGTTGCCAAGAAGGCCAATGGCATTTTGGGATGTATAAGCAGGGGCATTGCCAGCAGATCGAGGGACGTGATCATTCCCCTCTATTCGATACTGGTGAGGCCTCATCTGAAGTACCGTGTCCAGTTTTGGGCCCCACACTACAAGAAGGATGTGGAAAAATTGGAAAGAGTCCAGCGGAGGGCAACAAAAATGATTAGGGGACTGGAACACATGAGTTATGAGGAGAGGCTGAGGGAACTGGGGATGTTTAGTCTACAGAAGAGAAGAATGAGGGGGGATTTGATAGCTGCTTTCAACTACCTGAAAGGGGGTTCCAAAGAGGATGGATCTAGACTATTCTCAGTGGCAGCAGATGACAGAACAAGGAGTAATGATCTCAAGTTGCAGTGGGGGAGATTTAGGTTGGATATAGGAAAAACTTTTTCCACTAGGAGGGTGGAATGCGTTACCTAGGGAGGTGGTGGAATCTCCTTCCTTAGAAGTTTTTAAGGTCAGGCTTGATAAAGCTCTGGCTGGGATGATTTAATTGGGGGATCGGTCCTGCTTTGAGCAGGGGGTTGGACTAGATGACCTCCTGAGGTCCCTTCCAACCCTGATATTCTATGATTCTATGTGCCCCTGGCCAGCTCAGCTGGCTAGTGTGTAGGGGAGGCAGAGCTTTGGCCCTGTCTCCTATCTACCCCAATGAAGATTTATTGACTTTCAAGGAGATACAAAGAATGAGCTTGTGCTCTGCCCCAGAGAAAGCAGAGATTATATTTGTTCCTCACACCTGTGTGGAGGCGTAAAGGGGAGGGTTCTCCTTGTACTCTCCAGACTTTTCAAGGCTTAGCTCAGCATCTTTAATGATTTCTTAATATAGGCAGGGCTTCTGTACAAAACGTTGTGTTTACATTTGTGGGGCTTAGTATGGCTCTCTCCTATCTCAAGGAACTTCTGTACTTAAAAGTTTTCATCCTTAAAAAAAAAAGTAATTAGCCTGAATAAACTTCTTGGAAAAGAGCAATACGTCGCAAGGGGGTCTTTCCTGGTTGAAAAAAAAGGAGTATGACTAAATGGGTGAAAAAACTGTGTTCTGCACCTCTCTCATTCGCTGAATATTGACCAAATAAAATAAGACACACTTAACTGTGGGCTGTTTGCAGATTAATTTGCCAGTCATTGTGCAAGTTCCTCTGACTTTTCCTCAAGATGGATTCAGTTTTCAGGTAATTTTATTGCAGCTTGAAAAGATGGTATAAGAAAATAGGGAGATGAAAATGATATCTGAAATTAGGAATTTTTTAAATGTTCCTCCTCCCCCTCTCCCCCCCCAATCTCTGAATCTGACACTGTAAATCCTGTTCCCAAATCAAATAAATCCAGCGATTTGACATTGACTGGGTTTGAAGGAGGAATCTTCAGTGGTCTGAGACTCACAGCTGTAGTTTCCCTCCCTCCCTTCAACTTTGAAGTAGCTTCATTAATTTGGATTTAGATTTAGATTTCAGCCTCAACTCCTAGTGGGGAAAAAACATGACAAGCCTTGAAAAGTTATACCCAACTGTGATGCTCTCCTCCAGGCACTGAGAACTGGACTCCAGTATTACAGTGTCAACCTCCTGCCTTAGTCAGTGTGAGCTTTACTGGAGACTAGACT